TTATTTTTATTATATTATGTGTATATAATTTTTTTTGATTTTAAAAATGTCCGCATAATTTTGGTCGTTGACTGTATAAAAGAGTCAACTTTCTGATATTACATCTAACAGTTGCAACCTGAAGAAGATTATACATTAATATTTGGTGATGACAATAGGACCCTCTTCTCCTGTTTATGTATTACAGCAAAACTGAAATAATTATTAATATACTCTCATAAATACATTTTATTTATTTAAACAATCTATTAAGTATCAGAAAATTCATCATTAGTTACACACTAAAATCAATTAAAATATTAAAACTGCGAAATCACTTACTGAAGATTCTTCTTACCTTACTTATAACTCTAGTACTGATTTTTCTGAACTCTTAAAAGCCTTTCAAACTTTCTTTGACTAGGCTGTTGACAACCTTGAAGCATAACAATATACTGATAAAACTGTAACTATATTTAAATAAGCTATTACTATGCTAAATATTGACCTTAAACGAGTGTACTTTTAACAAGCTTTGTGTTTTTTACATTATAATTGACTACCTTCTACTACTTTAGATCAAGCTACTAAATCTTGTGTTGAAGATTTAAAAAAAATCATTATCAGAAAATTGCACAAATAACAAATTCAAGAATTGTTACTACTACTCAATCGAACGTAAGTAAACAACCTTCTGCTAAATAAGAGAGAAGGAGCTTTCAAAACTTTAAAGACAATTTAAATACCATTAACCTTGACTCAAATTCTAAATACAAACCTGATGTTAGAAGTAGCAGTTACTCTCATCTCAGTAATACCAATAGTGCAAAACTAGAAAGTAGCTATAGTTTTAGTAATATCGAATTTGACAATTGGGATACAGTTCTAAAAATAGAAATGCATTAGGTAATATTTTTTCTTTATCTTTCTTACTCCTACCTCATAAAAATAAAAATCTTGGATAAGTTATATCAATATTATATTATTTCTGACTCTGAAAATAAGGATAACAATAACACTAAATCTCCTGATATAAAAGATAAAAATAGATAAATAGACAACACTACGCAAACAGAAATAAGTGATGAAAAAAATCACAGAAAAAGTTATCTCAAGTAATCATGCTGATCTTCTTATTATGATAGTTCCTTCTTTAGCTCAGACTCTAGTGATAGTTTTCCTAAAAGTGAAGACAAAGTTGACCTAATCACTGAAAATATTAATAATATTGATTTGCCTAACAAACCTTAACTTTTTAAATAGGATTACAAAGTGTCTTACATTCTGTAAGATTCTTAGGTTTAAAAAAAGCTAGATTTGTAGATCTTTCTACGTTTAAAGAAAGTAATTAAGATTCTAGCAACTGGTTGGAGTGATACAACTATACATGTGAAGCTAATAGCATTTCTGACAAAAGAAGATTGACACTAGTACCATCCTTCATGAAAAAATTAGCTATCACCTGATTTAATAAAACAAAATTTGAAAAGAATTTATATTATTAGAATAATGATAGCAATCAATAACATGAACATTGATTCTTTATCTATTATTTTTTCAAATATTATTGCACTACTCATAGATGAACATAATGATGATCTGCTTTTTGACAATGTAAATAAGGCCTGAATAATTTGTAGAGGAATATGCTACAGAAGTAGAATCTTTATACCTAAAATTAGACCCAAAATATAATACTTTAGAAGATAAAATATTGAATAATTCCTTTAAGGTTTATGGCCTGAATTTGATACTGCACTTGCTGTTACTACTTCACATAATTTAGAAGAAGCAATTGATCAAGCTCATTCAGTTAAAGCTGTATTATCTCGTAATATTACTTTATCAGATTATTTATTAAGTAAAGCCTACTTGAACCACAGTGAAGAATCAAAGGAAGAAGAATAACCTGTCAATATACAACAACTCATCGACAAAAATAATAAAAAGTTAATTAAGGAGTTTAAATATTTATTGTCCAATACTATTACAGTTCTTAAATCTACCAATGATTGAATCAATAATAACTGAAAAAATTGATTGAATAATAATACATCTAAAAGTAGTAAACAAAACTACTATAATTGTAAAAAACAAGATAATTTTCTAAAAATTGTTAAGCACTAAAAAACAATCACAATAACAATGATAAATGCCACAACTGCAAACAATTTGGATATTTTGCAAGGAACTACACTACTTAATCAAAAATTTTCTATCTTTATTGTAAACAACATG